AGAATTTCAAAGTGTATGGTTCATGTCTAACCTTGTGAGGGGGTAACTACCCCGTATGTATTAAATTGTTATGTGCTACTAGTTGTGGGTGTTACGTACGCACGTGATGACGAGAGTCCGTACGTTGATTAAAGCATATTTATATCCGGGTAGCCTTAGGATTTTATTATATAATATTTGAATTATTTGAACTCAATTTCCTAGTTTAAATACTTGAATTTATAAGTGAAATTTGATTTGGGATTATGTTAGGCCGATCTGTATCACCTTGAGTTGTTTGGCGAGATATTTGATAGATGGTAAAAGTCATGTTTACTTTATGCTCCTGTTCTTGTGTTGCAAATACATGGACCGTAATTCGATAAGTTTCTTCCTTTCCCGTGGATCTCGTCGAACGCCTCGACAGTATATTGAGATGCATCTACGGTTCACGTAGGTCGATCCTTGGCAGTGCAAATACTATTCTTGATCGTGCCGTACAACCTTTGCATAATTCGTGTGTGAAATCACTAGCTAGGAGTCCGAATATCCACGAAATTACCCTCTTGATTAAGGCTTGGAAAGTACATGATATTCCCGTTATGACTGGAGATCGGATATATTTATTTGATGGTTCTTATTGTTGAGATAACATGTGGTATTTGGTGATTTTTAAAATTATATTTTTGTTAAAGGATCACATTAACTATTGTTTCTTATTATACCGATATTGTTGTATTTGATGCTTATTCAAAATTCCTGTATTTTATTTATTGGACCACTAGTAATTGTGGATATCGACCTCTCGTCACTACTTCTCTGGGTTTAGGCTAGATACTTATTAGGTACATGTTGATTTACGTACTCATGCTACACTTCTGCACTTATTGTGCATGTATATTTCTGATGGTCATTTGGGCGCGTAGGCGCATTTGCCGAGGGGACTTCATGGTGAACTGTATTCCATGATACGATTTGTAGCACACAGAGTCTCATTCATATTTATTTACTTTATCCTGTCTATCTCATATTCCAGACAGATGTTGTATTATTATTGTACTTCCTAGTAGAAGCTCATGCAATTGTGACACTGAGTTTTGGGATATTCTAGTAGATGTTAATGATTTTGCATTAATATTGTCACCTTTTTATTTTATATATTTCTTATATTATATGTACCCATGATTTTTAAATGCATAGTTTTCTTTATTTAATAAAACTTATGCTTTCAAAAGTAACAAAATGAATAATTATTTAGATGGTTCACCGTTGGTTTGCCTAACGGTGACGTTGGGTGCCAACATGACCTATAGTGGGTTTTAGGTCGTGACAATGTTAGCATTTGTTAGCCAAGTATTCCTCTTCACTTTTACTCGCATTATTTCTTTGAATCTAAATCTTATACACCGATATTGTAGAAAAATTCGACTCTTTTGTGTCGCTTACTATTTTTTTCAAGTTATCAACCTTATGTTAGGAATAGCTACGTATCACTAAATTTTTACTAATGTGATAACATACAATAATCACTATTAACGTATACAATTTAAATAATTTATTAAGTTAAAGTTTTTTCCTAGAGAAAAGGTAGACCATGCATTAAAACTGTCCGGGATTGTGATGAGATGAATTGAATCACTATATCTTTAAATAGAGGTTTGGGATTCAAACCATGAGAATGAAAATAAATAATTTAAATTGAATCACTATACCTTTAAATGGAAAAGAGAAAGACCTTCTATAGAGAATTTAATCATTGGGTTAAAATTCCATAAACAGTACATGTACTGATGAAAATACAGCAAAGTGCTGGAGGAGCGTAAACAGTCACAAGGTGTTACTCATCACATTATATATCCGACTTAACTTTCTTTCAGTTGTCATGTGCCATTTCGTGGGGTGAAAGATTGTTGTTGGGAACATTTTTACTGAAAAAAGAGTCGACAATTGGGTCACAGTTGCTACTGGTAAAAAAAAGAAAAGAAAAGGTTGCAGTCGTAAACTCCCAGATGCATCATAGCGCGTCTTCTGCACACACTCTGATCAAACAACAATGGTTCTGTCTGCTTCGACCATAATCGCGTGGGGTTCTATTGGCACCTCGATAAAGGTAAATAGAAAAGAAGGTAAAACCCAGAGCCGTACAAAACCAAATTATTAATGGCGGCCAATTCAAGGTTGTCCACCACGTTATTCCTAGCTGTAAAAGTAAATTTTAATTCATTAAACTTCAAATTTTGAACAGTTTTACTCCTTGTCCAAAGGAAAGTCCAAGAATCATTAATTTTGATCATAATATATAACAAAATTAACTTATGTAATAGAGTCGATCCACTAAAGTCTTGAGCAGCGGTGTAGGATCAGATCCCAAAGATAGTAAGTATTTTCTTTCTTATGAAAGAAAGTCTTTTTCAAAGATTCTATATAAATTTATCTATGAAACCGAGATAGTTACCTTTCATAAAATTCTAACACTAGTAGAAATGCCTATGCTTTATTCTTCTGAAGGTGGGAAAAAAGATAAAACTAAATAAACGGATTATTCATCCAAATTTCAGTTTGAAACTCATGTAATTAACCTATTTTTCTTTGGTTAACCCTAAACTGGGATAGATCCATGAGAAATCTCATTAGATTTTATTAGATATGGTATAGATCAAAATGGGACACCAAAAGAATTGACTGCTGAGCCGTATGAGGTAAGAAATTCTCAAAGTACGGTTCTAAGGGAAGGAATTGAACTACCTATCCGGCGGGGAGACAGGCCATTCAACAGGGAGATTCTGAAAATTGCAGAGGCTTGGTTACGATCAAGCCGCTGAGTATTGGAAAACAGGCTATAGCGCTTACTCCCGGTAATTANGCTGTAAAAGTAAATTTTAATTCATTAAACTTCAAATTTTGAACAGTTTTACTCCTTGTCCAAAGGAAAGTCCAAGAATCATTAATTTTGATCATAATATATAACAAATTCAAAATTTCAGTTGTCCATACCATAAATTCTACCCCCTCTATTCTCTTTTAGTTCTCTACTTTTGACTTTGCACTCTCATTAAAAAAAAAAATATATATATTTTATAATTTTACCGATAACAATGATAGCATTTCAAAAAATATTGAAAATAATTTAGAGAATTAGTAGTTATTAATAAAGGTAAAACAAGAAAAAAAATTGTATTTCTCTTAATTTATTAAAATTGACAAGTAAAATTAAAAATATATTTTTAATATAATGAACAAATACAAGTGAACGAAGAAAGTAGGAGTGAAGATACAGTCGGCAAAGTTTGAACAATTCTCATAAAAAAAATTTAATGTGCGTATAGATCAAATATTTAATTAACTTTCTTAGTGCTATTCTTGGTAAATCATATTCGTTTCATTGAGCTGATTTACAGGAACAGTTAAATGGAAAAGTTTCGATTCTGGAAATTTACCAAAATAATAGGACCGGTAATCCGACCAGCAAGGAGTAGTTAAAAAGCTTGGTCAAAGAAAGTGAGTTGTAGCCCAATTGCATAAGAATTTGACCGACATAATTTAACTGACCCGGGCATCCTGGGCCTCACGTGACCAGTCACACGGGCTTCGAGATTAAAAATACCTGCTGACTCAGCTGTCTTTGAAGTTCACTCATTGGACCAACGTTATTTGTAGGGCCAACGACACGTACGTGTCAAATCATCGAGGTTTTTCAATTTTCAATTTATGTGAACCTATTTTCTTTTTGGTCCGTTCTAAAAAGAATAATTTCTTTATAAATTTGGAAACAATTTAGTTTAAACTTACAATTCTACCCTTAATAAAAAGTTTTTATAATCGTATAAATACTCTAGTTCCCTTTTTGACTTGTTTAGGACCACAAATTTCAAAAGTTTCCATTTTCTCTTAAACTCTCCGCTTAAACTCCGTACTCAGTCAAACAGGTTCACACTTAATGAAACGGAGGAAGTATATATATGCAGCTAGTCGGATTTCTTTCAGTCCGAATCTTTGGGCTCCATATCACCGACGGCCGGTGACTACCCCTTGGACTTTCATAGCTAAACAAATAACTACTCCGACGGACCGGAACTCCGGAAGTCGCCAACTAAAATGTACTATCACGATAGAAAACTTTGCTTCACCATGTAAACTCCATCTCATTTTTATGCGACATTATTTCTTATCAATCTCATGCAAAAATAACATATTTTATATTTGAAAATAATTTAATTTGTAGTTTTATTTACCTAAAATGCTAGTTGAAAATATTTTATTTATTTCTAAAATTTGGTGTCTAATTATTAAACCACATGAATCAAAATAGAGGAGTATTATATCATTGGATTCATTTTTGTTCTCTTTCTTGCCCCGGAGGAGATATTTTTAGAATCTACAGTATACTGTAATGACATATTTATAAAGTATTTACGAATACAATCTATACTCCATCGTTTTAGTTTATGTGAATCTTTTTGGTTTTGAGATTCAAACTATATCAATTTTGACCAATATTTTAAAATATATTTTTACATTATATTGACATAAAAAAATTGTAACCTGTTTGAAGAAAATATAAAAACTTTTAGAATATGTGATCCTAAACATCTCAAAAAGGGGTCCACAGTATTTATGTGGTTATAAAAAATCTCACTAAAGATAGAATTCGAAATTTAAGCTAAATTATTTTAAAATTTAGAAGGGATTATTTTTTTTGGAACGGACCAAAAAGAAAATAGGTTCACATAAACTGGAACGGAGGGAGTTGTACTTTTCGTATAATTTTTGAATATCTAAATATAAACTTTAACATAGTGAGTTAATCTAATTCAATTTATCTTTAAAGATTAGTCAAATTAACTCTTAAAAGAGTAAAAAGCTTCAGATAAACTGAAATAAAGGAAATAAAATTTACAATCTATAATTGTTTCAGACGATAAATGGAGTATAAAAAAAAGAACATTAATATAATAAAAATAATATGCATATTACGGGCTTAGAATTTGGGCTGCAGTAGGATCCTATAAAGCAGCTAACTAAATGTTCTAGTCTCACGGACTTAGTAGCACAACTCTGTCTCTCCGCCAAAACTTTCTCTCTCATCATCTTACCTTTCGCCATTCATCACGCAAAGAGAGTTCATATCTTACTAGTACTAGTGTTTGTTCACTTCCCTATCTCCAAGAGGAAGAGAAAACATAGGATTACCTAGTGCAGAAACTTGATTCCTTATTCTTTTTTAAAACCATAAGGCTTCTTCCTTTATTGTCCACTGAACTTTTTAAGGCTCACGCTTACACAAAATCTTTTTCTACCTTCTTTCTTGTTTCCTTTGAGGTTCACTTTGTTAAAAGGACCTCACTTTGTTATCAGCTTCAAAACTTTGTGCTCCGTTTGTGTGTGGGTGGTGGTTTACTTTTTTTTTTTTTTCTTCCCCTTTAAGATTATTCCGTCTTTTAACGACGTTGCTCCTCTTTTTGTCAGATTTCTTTGGTTCTCCTTGAGCTTGAAGCTTCTCTTTGACTATTCCTTCATTCTTCTCTTCCTTTTAATACTAGTCTCGTGCCACTCTCAAAGCACTCTTCCTTTATCTTCATTGAGCATTTCTCTACGCATTTCTCTATTTTCACTCCTCTGTAATCACTTTAAAACAGCGAAAATAGCTAACCCAACGTACGTAACACTCTCAAAATGGATCATAGTATGCTCTGTCCGATCAAATATACCGAGCACAAAAAAACCATTAGAAAAGTCACTAAGCCATCCTTCATAAAGCCTAAGAAAATTACTGAAACCCGAAAATCTTCCGAGTACAATCCCACTATTCCAAGGACTGTTCGAATATCTGTTACTGACCCAGACGCGACCGACTCATCCAGTGACGAAGAAGAGCTTTTTGGTCGAAAACGTGTCAAAAGATACATCAATGAAATCAGTATTGAAACCTCACCAATCAATGACGTTAAACCTCTGAATAGTGGCAAGGCCATCAAGAAACGAGCAGCTGAAGCTTCAACGCCGAAGCAGAAGGCATTGAAGGTGAAGGTAGTGCAGCCACCGCCGGATGGTACTGTTAGGAAGTTCAGGGGTGTGCGTCAAAGGCCGTGGGGCAAATGGGCCGCTGAAATCAGAGACCCAGCTCGTCGTGTGAGGCTCTGGTTGGGAACTTATGACACAGCTGAAGAAGCTGCCATGGTTTATGACAATGCAGCCATTAAGCTCCGTGGGCCAGACGCTTTAACCAATTTCATCACCCCTCCAACGAAGCCAGAGGAGGTCAATGTGGCTTCAAATTCGGGCTATGAATCTGGCGATGAATCCCATAATCTTTCTTCTCCCACCTCTGTTTTGCGGTTTAGAACGAGTCAATCCAGTGAAGAAGCTGAACAACAAAGTGGGTCCGAACCAATACTCGAAGAAACTAAAGGAGATGTTTGTTGTCCATTGGTGGAAGAAGAAGCAGTTCTTGATTCGATGGACAACAGCGAGCAAACCGTCGAACACCTTGAGTGCCAAGGCGAGACAAGCATGATAATACCAGATTATTCAAACGACTACTTGCCTACAGATGTTCCCTTCTTAGATGATTTCTTCAACTTCGAAGCTGCAGAACAGACATTACTTGACGATACAACAAGTTTTGCCAATGATTTGTACACGTCGTACGATGACGTATCGTCTTGGGATTTCGCGAATGACTTGTTATTAGACCATGAGATTGTCAAGTTTGAGGATTCATTTCAAGATTTGGGTGCATTAGAAGTGGATAATTATTTCAGAGACATCGGAGATTTTTCCAGTGTTGATGCTTTACTGGCCTTATGAAACTGTCATTGTCCCCGGCTTGCCGAAACTATTGGGCAAATTTTGTATACCGGCGGCATAAGAAATCAACTAGTGCCTTTTTATTTTTAATAAAAAATACTTTAGATGTTTATTTTCAGGAGTATATTAGAGTTGTTTGTTTTAGAATCTCCGTGAAAGTGAACGGAGTGAACAAGTGGAGCATTGTTTTATTTTCTTAACAAATGTTATGATAATAAGTAGAGAAACCCTTCCAAGAACTGCAATGTACCCAGATGCATAATGTTTACTGAATGTTGAGTCGCTCAAGTGTATTCAATTTTCAGAATTTGGTGTATTTTCTTGTTGAACCAATCAATATTTAAGTCTTACCAAATACACACACCAACGAGGTAAAATGCTCACTATTTGGTGTTCGAACTTGAAACTTTTGATTAAGGTCAAAAGAACCCGACAATCCTATTACAGTCCTTAATGATATTAGTGATGTAATGTTTTATTAATAGGCAAATCATGTTTAAATTGTTTATTTACTAATAATACTGCCATAGTAGCATTCTCTTTGCCCAACACGAGCAGGCGCAATTTGCGGTGCCTCACTTGACCGGGTTAAGTCGGTGTGTTTCTGCTGGTGTGAATGGCTTCAAGCTTGAGTTTAAATAGCAGTAAAGGATTTGAGCTACTCCCTCCGGTCCAAAATAAGTGATTTTTTTGGCTTTTTTCTTGTGGTCCAAAATAAGTAATTTTTCCAGATTTCAAGAATGAATTAATTATTTTTTTCCTATATTGTCCTTGAAGTAAATGGTGTTGGAATATGTGTTGAGAGTGTTTATGTGAGATAGTAAAGGTTAATATGGTCAATTCCATTGCTAATTAATGCTAAAAGGTGAATTTCTTAATTTGTGTGAAAACATCCAAAAAATCACTTATTTTGGACCGGAGGGAGCATGTGGTAGTTGAATATTTATATGTTTAGGGTCCTTTTAGGAAACGTGATGTTATGAACTTGTGTGATGAAAAAGCAGAGGACATCAAAGGACAATAATTCCAGTGTTAATAACAGTAAGCGAGCGAGTAATTGATGAAGAATGGCTCGCCGTTTTATGTCATAGCATTAGTAAGCTTGCTTTAATTTGTTGAGTCTATTTATTTCTATATTTATTTTTACATACTTCGTACATTAATTGTAGTGACAGATTCAGATGAACCCCTTATTTTTCAATATACATCCGCTACTTCTGTTTAACAATTTTCTCAACGGGCAAACATATATGGTAAACTTGAACAACATTTGTTTTTTTTCCCCCTATTCTGGTTCTATATCTTTTTTAACCTTAATTTACAGATTAGCTGGAATTAAATGGAAAAGTGATTGGTCAAAAGGCGAGAAAAGTTCAATACAAAACAACATATAATGAGTACCATGCTGGCTGCTGTTAATTCTGCCTAACAAAAAGAATGAAATGTCAGCAAATGCAATCGACAAATACTTAGTGACTGCTCATAAGCCCTGAATTTCTGGAGCATAATTGGCTAGATTTGTTGAAATACTCCAAAGCTTTTATCAGCCAAACAGTTCATTAGTCTGAAGCACTGATCATTTGCTACAATTATCAATCCTGTGTCCCTGTCCTTTTTACTTTCTTAGTCTACCCGAAATTCTAAGTACTTTTGTGTTAAAAAAAATTTTCGTGCTTCTTTCTTTAATTTGTTTACCTGTTTTTATTTTGGGTAAGTGTGGAGTATGAAAACCATTTTATTGGCTGAGTTACATGGGACAGTAGGCCAGTCGACCTCTTCGAAACTTGATTTGGCCCAAAATAGTTTTAACCATTGGTCAGGTGACCTTCTTTATTAATTATCGTTTATGGTTAATTGGGGTTAATGACAAGGTGACGTTTTTTTTAGCTCATTAGTTGTCAATTCCACTAAGAGAGAAAGCTCGAATTCGTCGATTTGGACGTTAATTTGGCGGTGCATTACATTGGGAAATACTTCTAAGGGATACATTCTATCCTCAGCTCAACTGCAAATTGATTAAATCTCTTCTTATTCATTATTATATAGTTTGGGTTCTGCATATTTCCATCCAGATTTTCAAGTCACTCGATCATTTACTTACAATAGACCACTATTAAATAGACACCGACTATTGATTAAAAATCGACCCTGTTGTGTAGGTACAAATTTGGTAACCACGACAACGGATAAGCAGAACATAGGACGGGGTTGATCACGACACAGAGATTGATGGCCGTCCAAATGAAGGCAGACGACTAGAAGCAGGTAGCTGATATAGGATAGTAACGGTAACCTAAACTCAGAAATAGACAGGAAGAATATTCCTTTGGATATTCTTTATGTTGTACTTTTTAGGGTTTTTTGGGGAATGTCCCTTATAAATAGGAAGAGATGAGGAACAAATGGGGATCTGCCCTTTTCGAGAACTGAGACATACTGTAAAGTTGAGAGAAGAATATACGAAAGGGTTGTCTTATTCTCTTTATCCAAGCACATGTTGTTCAATCTTTATCCACAAATCTCAAGATCCCATAACTCAGATTGATTACTTACCTTTCCACGTAGTTAGAGAAAGGAAACACCCAATCGCACAATCATTGGGTGACGATTCCTTTACACTATAACCCTTATCATTCTCGCATTTATTATACATTTATGATATTACATGCCTTGCCAATCATAGCATATTAAATTCGTTATTTAATGTTTCTAACCCCAATTCGTCATACAAGAACTTTGCTTTACTTGGTCTAGGATTTATTAAGTTCAATTGAGATTCACCCTATTAATTTATTCTTGATTGGTTTAGTAATTATTTGCTAAAACAATTTGGCGCCGTCTGTGGGGAGCTTTTTAGTTGAAACTATAGTTCTTTCTAGATCATAAAAAAGGAAAGAAAGAAATACATCGCTTCCTCGTTTGTACAAACTAACAATGGCAGGAAAAGAAGACGAGAGGTTGAAAACGATAGTAGGTGTCACTACCAACATCTTGAACACCATCAACGAAGATGGCAGGGAAGACAACGAGAACGCGACACCAAATGCTACGCCAGGCGGAGCGTCTCACCTCCCCCTCGCGAAAGCGTAACAACTTCACGCGAAAGAGGAGCCTCCACGTCAATAACTGAGGAAGCACCACCGGCAGTGAAAAACTACTGGAAGAGTAACTGACAAATACTCTAAACAACATACTCGACAAACCCGTCCAAAGGGAGAACAGAAACACCGCACAAGCAGACATCACAACAACAACTCGCGAACAGCCCATCCCCCAAACAGGTAACACTTACACCACTGTTGATGCAGGTAATGACGCACTCGCAGCCATTCTAAAGAAAATGGAAGATATGGAAAACGAAAACAAGGCACTCCATGACCAGATGAAGGAGCATCAAGAAAGGGTCGACAAGATACCAGACGCCCCAAAGTCGCTACCGAAACGAGACGTTGGTTGACTCGTCGAACAACCGTATAGCGAGGAAGCAGCTCCTCATGCCATTCCCAAAACCTTCAAAATGCCACCGTACCTGAAAATATACGATGGCACTACAGACCCAGAAGATCATATCGTTCACTATGCCACAGCGATGAAGGGCAACGATCTTTTGAAGGAGCAAGTTCCATCGGTGCTACTGAAAAAGTTCGGGGAAACCCTAACAGGGGGAGCCCTAACCTGGTACTCACAACTGCCGGCACGGTCAATAGCAACGTTCGAGGAAATGGCCGACAAGTTTGTCACCGCTCATGCAGGGGCTAAAAAGGCAGAAGCCAAGGTGAACGGCATATTCGCCGTCAGGAAATCGCCTGGCGAGGGACTCGGGGACTTCCTCGCCCGTTTTAACAGGGTGAGAATGAGCCTACCAAATGTATCAGAAGGGATGGCGGTAGCAGCCTTCCAGAATGTGTTGAGCAGGAACGGGTCGAGAGCAACCAGAAAACTATTAAGCAGGCTCATGAAATACCCCCAAACCACTTGGGAAGAAATCCACAATCCCTATTGCGCTGAGGTAAGAGCCGACGAGGACGATCTCAACGGTCCTACCCAACAACCGACATCAGTTCAAGCAGAATCGAGGAAAGATCGTCGTAACAATGGTCGAAGAGATCAGTCGGGTCCCCGTCTCGGCCGAGAAAGACATTAGCCCTACATCCGAACAGCCGTCCCACCACCTCCTCGGCACTCGGAAGGGCCTCCCAGGCCGCACACCGGGACTCAGCGAAATGAAAGAGGTATGCCTCTGCTCTTATCTGCTCACAATTTTTGCGTCTCCCCTTCAGAAATAGTGTATGCACTATAGAAGCTCGGCACGAAGGTGAAATGGCCGCAAAAGATGAAGTCCGACCCGAATACACGAAAGTCGGATGCCCTCTGTGAATTTCACCAGGAGCGGGGTCACAAAACCGAGGACTGCATAGGTCTGCGGCAAGAGGTAGTAAGAATGCTGAACCAAGGGCACCTGAGAGAATTAATGAGCGACCGGGGACGAGCCAACTTCGGTCGCGGATGTGAACAGCACCAGGGGCCTCCAAAGTCACCCTCCCCTGCTCGTACTGTCCAAATGATCGTCAGCGGAGGCGACGACGCAGCGATAAACCATGTGAAATTCACCATTACACACAAACTCAAGCGGTCGATCACCTACGAACGGTATGATGACCTCGAAAACAGTACCATCTTCAATAAGTCAGATACCGACGGTTTGAATTTCCCTCATTTCGATGCTAGTGTTATTACTTTATGTGTTTCAGATACTGATGTGAAAAGAATAATGGTAGACGACGGAAGCGGCGCATGTATTATCCATCCTCGAGTCCTCGTATAGATGCGACTCGAGGACAAGATAATACCACGTTGCATAACACTAACGGGTTTTAATAATGCAGTTGAGCGAATATCTGGAGAAATAACGCTACCCGTTTTTGCCGGAGGAGTCACCCTAGAAACAACGTTTCATATCATGGAAAAAGATATAGCCTACAACGCCATCATCAGATGGCCATGGATACACGCCATGATGGCCATCCCGTCAAGCCTATATCAAGTAATCATGTTCCCTACTCCATGGGGAATATTCAGCATCCAAGGCGAACAACGCACTGCTCAAGAATGCTATCGCATCGCCCAAGATTGCACACATACCCAACAACTAAAGGGAACAAACACGGAGGCATAGTAATTAGCGATGCCGGGAACCAAATCCGACGCACAGACAGACGAGATCAAAGGATCCCGACATCGTGGAAGTCGCTGAGTCAACAATAGAAGATCTCGATCCCGTC